AGAGCTCTCCTTACAGCCTAATCAGCCCCAGATATTGAAGGAAAAAGCTCCATATTCCTTTGTTATTAAAGTAATTTATGAGTCTCTCAGTGAGCATTAAGTGATGCATTTACAGGAGCAGTCTCGGCAGCCCCTGAATAAAACGCAAGTGGACTTTTTTATGAACAAGCCAAGGTTATATAAAATAAACATTGATTCCTTTAATTGTGAGCAAATGCTTTATTTGAACAAAGCATCTGTTTAATCCTACTGAGTTGACATAAAATGCAGAAGGTCCATTGGGAGCAGCTAAAGAATATAATGCATTCAAGTATAAGGAGGGGGGAATAGAAAGTGTAAGTAGTAAGTAAGTAAGTAATCTTTATTTATATACCGCCTTTTCACTGCACATCGGAGTCTCAAAGCGGTTTACAATTGTTATTTTTGGGGTTGGGGGTGCCAGTACAGGAGGCACATGCCAGACCTATTGTACATATTTTTAGTGGTAGGGGAAACCGGAGCACCCGGGGGAAACCGGAGCACCCGGAGGAAACCTACGCAGACACGGGGAGAACATGCAAACTCCACTCAGAAAGGCCCTGGTCCAACCGGGATTCGAACCCAGGACCTTCTTGCTGAGAGGCGAGAGTGCTATCCACTCAGCCACCGTGCCGCCCAGTGAAAGTGAAATATATATACTTTACAGTATTGATGTCATTAACATCAAACCTCTAAGCGCCATCACGGATCAGTGATACAGTATTTCTTATAGCTAAAAGATTGCAGCTGGCTATTGTCAGGCTCCTCCAAGTTAGACATGAGATTTGACTGATGAGAAATGAATGACTGATTGCACCGTGTGGAGAGCAGCTGATGACATTCAAGGGTTCATTAGAAAGTATTGGTTTAGTTAGGGTGCATTCAAAGTCTTAGTCTGGTTCATTATAACTGGTTCAATTTTGGTTCACTTGGGGCAAAAAAAGCTTTGCTTTTGGAAGTAAAACCACCAAACAAGTCAAGTTATTTGTCACATACATCAGTTTACATCTTCTGAGCGACGCCCCCAGTCCACATGACGTCAATGACGTTGTGCATTCTTAAAACAGTACTCAAAATAGCAAGTCACAGTGCAGTTAGGGTGTGCGAAACGGTTACCGCTGAGAGTCCTCTGCACAGTGGTTGGCTCTGGTGTTTCGTTTTGGCAGTTTCTTCTCGAGCGAGTTAGCAGCCCCGCCCTTTCGTCCCTCCGTCACCACATGCACGCACATCGTCCTCCTTGACTTTAGAGTCTATGGTTGCAGCAACCAATCAGAGACATGTCTGAGCGAGAAGACTGAAGATACTTGTAAACAGCCAAAACAGGATCTAAACCAGGAGCTAAACCAGGAGCTAAACCAGGACTTAAAGTGGTTCTCACCCCCGCTCCTCGGAGATTACGTCACTCACATTTCCTGTTCAAATCTTCCTCTAAATGGGCGTAGCCTGGAGGACTAAAGGGGGCGTGAACGAGACTGGGCCGTTTACATTGCTCTGGGCGGGGGGCTGCTGACGTCAGGTCCAACTTGCAGACGTCAGGTCCAACTTCTGTGCCAGTGTTGGCGCCAGATTCAAAATTCAATTGTAGTAATACAGGTCGCCAGCAGATGGCGCCTCACAGACGGTTTTAGGCAGAAAGTTTAACTTTCAACTAATTTGCACCAAAGTGACAAGATTATGACCAGGATATGTAGACAACACTATTGGACACTCATTTATACCGTTTATCAGCAAAAAAAAGTGGATTTGAGGGTGAGTTGTCCTTTAAACAGGACTGACAATGGGGGACACAGTGCTTCTGATCATATGCCTCCAGCCTGAGTTCTCATTCTCCCGTGACTGTGAACAAGTAGAAAAGTGTTTTCCTTTCAGTCCAAACACTATATATACAGTAAGTGATTGCTATTGGAAGATATTAATATTAATATAATATTAATAATATTTAAGACTTATATTAACACAAACAAATCGCTTACTTCTGCTTTAAATATCAAAATGACGTACAAACTGCAGTCAAAGTCCGTAAGAAGACTGAGGGCACAGTTAATGTTATTTCATATAATTTAATCTCATCTTTCTTTTATGTATCTGTGTAATTGAAAAAAAAATCCCTTTGTCCACTCAACTCCATTTTAGGTATGCATCTTTTTGTGTTTATGTTAAACTTAACCTCCCCCCAAAGTGCAGACTCTGGTGTGAACACTAACAATTTTTGAGTAGTAAGTAAGTAAGTGAGTAATATATTCATTTATACAGCGCCTTTCATAGACCACACACAAAGCCATTTGCAATTGTTATATTTTTGGGTCACCATACAGGAGGCACATTTATTAGGGAAATATATGCATTTCTCATTTAAATCGTTAATTCATTTGTAATACTGTTCTATTTGAGTTTTACATTTCACAGCATGTGTTGGAGTTTGAAAATAGAGCAATTAACAATTATTAAATTACTTAAGTAGCCATGATTAATTGTTACAGCTCTTAAATAGACCAACTAGCACTAGACCACATAAAAACTTCCTAAAAGATCATATTCAATTGCAATGTGGGAATTAAAGAAAATATTAAATATAAAAAAATATATGTTCTAAATATAATTGTATTTGTAATGTTTTATTGTATTTACCTTTATTTAACCAAGAAAGTCCCACTGAGATTTCAGAATCAATTTTCATGTTTTTAATGGTAAGGAAACCCGGAGCACCCAGAGGAAACCAAAGCAGGCACAAAGCAAGACTTCTAACCGCTCTACCACAATGGGTGACACAGAGGCATGAGTCAACAAGTCAAACAATTATTGATATTTCATATTGTATACATTTTTTATATTCAGTTTTCATCCATTAACAAACTGGAAGGTGGAGGATATTTTAACATCTAACCGAACTTATTCCAATTATTGATGGGTTATATATCATTAGTTAGCATGTACGTTCAGTCACTGAACTTCAAACAGTGCACAGAAGAATAATCTTGTTTCATTGACTATTGTTTTGAATGTGTGTTAGGTTTACAAGTCACAGCCTGATGCAATGTTTGCTACTGTTTTCCATTAATAACTGCGTCCTATCTGTGCTTTGGGGAGAAGTCTTGTCCCCTAAGGCTTTAAAAGCTGCAGTGGAGCCTCCGTTATGACGTGTCTATCCTCCTTCCTCTCCTTTTCTTGCTACATTTCAAATAGAAGAAGATGCGCAGGTTCACAGCATGGGGAGTGATGACTCGGATAGGGAGCGGCTGTTTCACATCTGATTAGTGTGCCCATGGAAACAGGGGTTGGAGGATCCCTCTGCCCTTGACACCTAGTCTCCTGGGACCTGGGCATCAGTTGGTAGCTTGCCCGACTGTACTGCCAATCAACACCTAGACTTGTTTAATGATAAATGCACTCTTTCAAGAGCCAGGAGCTCATCCATCCAGTGACCTTCTAACCACAAATTCACCCCTTAAAAAGAGTGAGACTGTGAATAAAACAACAGGCAGCCAAGTAGTGAGGAGCGCCAGGAGCTTCATTAGTGGTCTGAGTGAAACGGTTCCCCTTTGAACTCACAGAGCTGTGATCAGTGCTGAGTGTGTGGCCTGTGCTTCATCATTTCAGACTCTTGAATACAACAAGAAAATACATGCATTGTAAAATTTTGAACATAAAACCAGAGTTTATGATAATTGTTGTGGTAAGGCAAAGGCACGTTTATTTGTACCGCACAGCTCATACACAAGGTGACTCAAAGTGCTTAACAAAACAAGAAATTATATAAGGCATTAAAATCATAAATAATAACTGTACAGTACAGTAATATCTGTATCCTACCATGAACAAGGTGTAAAACTACAACTATTGAAGTCATTATATTTGTTATAAATTAATAATGTAATATATTACTAGTAATTTCTGTGTGGGAAACAACTGTAATATATGTGTATGACTTTAAAATGTAAATTAAATTACACATTTGTCATTAATTAGAGTTAGTCTGAGCTACTAAGTTTAGTTTTTCTGTTTTCCTCACAAACAGGTTGCATTATATTGATCATGTTGTTTCTCAAATGAAATGTAAACATATTTCTTAAGTCATTGCTCGGCCTTTGTGAATCACGGTTTGCCTAATTCCAGACCTAAATACAACTACATTTATAATCAATACGGCCAGACCAAAACAACATTTGGGACAAAAGTTAAATTGACATAAAATAAAATAAAAAATGCAATTTCTTTACCAAATGTGATCAAAAGAAAAACTATATTATATTTGACCTCATATTTGCCTTGAGCTTCATTGACTAGTCACAAGGACATAGTTGCATACACTATTTTCTTCTACACCAATTTGAACTGTAAAGCACTTTAAGTTATTAAGGTTAAGGTACACTTTATTTATCCTCAAATAAGGCAATTAGTCCTCTGTATTTGACCCATCCTTCACTGTCTATAGGGCCTCAAGAGCCATAATCTTCTCTACTGTATATCTCAATTGCTCAGGTTTCTTCATAAAATGCTTTGATCTTCCAACTTGGGATGAATGAGAATTGAGCCGAATCAAGTAATTGTTTACTGAAGACGAGCAAATGTTGAGATTCAACTGAAGATGTATGTAGGAGACCTTTTCTTTGGTGGGTGTATTCATACCAATATATCGATATGGTGATGTATCGTGATACTTTCTCACGCAATCGATTATCAATATGCTTTTGCGAAGTATTGATTTTTTTAAAAATAAGATTTTTTGTTTCTTTTTTTAAGCTTTACTTAGGAAAAAGTAATGTTACTTAATATATGGTTACATTACGCATTCTACAATTTCTGTAGAATTAGAATGTTAATATTGATTTTTTTTTTCCTGATAAACGGTATAAATGAGTGTCCAATAGTGTTGTGTACATATCCTGGTCATAATTTTGTCATAATTAGTGCCAATTAGTTGAAAGATCAACTTTCTGCCTAAAACCGTCAGTGAGGCGCCAACTGCAGGCGACCTGTATTTACTACATTTGAATTTTGAATCTGGCCCCACCATTGGCGCAGCCGTGATGGCTGTCGTCTGTAGTGATGGCTGACGTCTCCAGTGATGGCTGACGTCTGTAGTGATGGCTGACGTCTCCAGTGATGGCTGACGTCTGTAGTGATGGCTGACGTCTGTAGTGATGGCTGTCGTCTGTAGTGATGGCTGTCGTCTGTAGTGATGGCTGACGTCTGTAGTGATGGCTGACGTCTGTAGTGATGGCTGACGTCTGTAGTGATGGCTGACGTCTCCAGTGATGGCTGACGTCTCCAGTGATGGCTGACGTCTGTAGTGATGGCTGTCGTCTGTAGTGATGGCTGACGTCTCCAGTGATGGCTGACGTCTGTAGTGATGGCTGACGTCTGTAGTGATGGCTGACGTCTGTAGTGATGGCTGACGTCTCCAGTGATGGCTGACGTCTCCAGTGATGGCTGACGTCTCTAGTGATGGCTGTCGTCTGTAGTGATGGCTGACGTCTAGTGATGGCTGACGTCTCCAGTGATGGCTGACGTCTGTAGTGATGGCTGTCGTCTGTAGTGATGGCTGACGTCTCCAGTGATGGCTGACGTCTGTAGTGATGGCTGACGTCTGTAGTGATGGCTGACGTCTGTAGTGATGGCTGACGTCTGTAGTGATGGCTGACGTCTCCAGTGATGGCTGACGTCTGTAGTGATGGCTGACGTCTGTAGTGATGGCTGACGTCTCCAGTGATGGCTGACGTCTGTAGTGATGGCTGACGTCTGTAGTGATGGCTGACGTCTGTAGTGATGGCTGACGTCTGTAGTGATGGCTGTCGTCTGTAGTGATGGCTGACGTCTCCAGTGATGGCTGACGTCTCCAGTGATGGCTGACGTCTGTAGTGATGGCTGACTTCTGTAGTCATGGCTGACGTCTAATAATAATAATAATAATGCATCGGTTTTATATAGCGCTTTTTTGGACACTCAAAGACGCTTCACATGTGTCATTATTCATTCACTCCATACACGGTGGTGATAAACTACTACTGTAGCCACAGCTGCCCTGGGGCACACTGACAGAAGCGAGGCAACCAGTATGCGCCATCGGCCCCTCCGACCTCCACCAATCATTCATACACACACCAGACTCATTCTAGGCAATGGGGGTGAAGTGTCTTGCCTAAGGACACAACGGCAGTTTGGCACTTTACAGCCGCAGCCGCCCCACTGTGGCTGGTGTTCCCAGAGGTTAAGTATCTTGCCATGGACACAACGACAGTAGTCTGTAGTGATGGCTGACTTCTGCAGTGATGGCTGACGTCAGTTGCCCTGCCGCCCTGAGGTATATAAACGGCCCAGTCTTGTTCACGCCCCCGTAGGAGTTGGAGAAGGAATGGCAGAAAATATTTTCACCGATTGTCAGGTTTGCGATTAGTAGCCTTTAGGTAGATTTTTATGAGCATAGCTGTTTGTATTATAGATAATTGTGTAGTGTTAATAGCGTTGTTGTTGAGTATTGTAGTTTTAGTCATTAGTCGCTTTCATTGTTAGATTAGTTAGCTGAATTTAGCTTAGGACTTTTGTTAGTATTACTAGTGTTCTATATCGTGTGCAATTTCATTGCAAATTGTTTATTGTACTTGTGTACAATAAATACTACTTTATGTTTGAGTGTGTGTAAAATTACTGTCTCGTTTGTGCTCATTGGGGTATCATTTCTATCCAAAATGCCTTCGGGGTTTCCATGCAGCACAAGTGTTCCCTTGGGAACACGAAGGTGCAGTGGCCGCAGGTTATTGTGGCAGAATTTAGAATTTTATAACTATATGACCCTAGCTAGCTCTACTAGCGGCGCTAGGCTCAAATTGATAGGGCTGACAGCCGCCGTCTGCCTCCTCTCTCTCAACCTCCGGTGAGGACGGTGGAGAGAAGTCCTCCACCTCCTAAGGCTGAGTTTACACGGAGACAATGTGGCAGTAAAACGGTGTAGTCGGATGTCGGTTTCTACCAACCGTTCATACGAAGACTGTGTTCCAGGGGGGTCAAAACGTAAGTGTTCAGATCCAGCCTGCAAAGTGGGACAGCTCAGATACGCTGCACAGCGGGGGCTCTCTTTCACACCCGCGAGAGGGAAAAAGGTGTGAAATCCCTGTCTGCTCTGACCCCCGCCTCCGCGCTGCTCCCCGCACGTAAATTTGGACATGCGCAGTAGCGGAGAACAAACATAAACAACAATGGCGGCCGGTAAACTAACTAGCTAGAACAAAGGATAATTCTTCACCTTCGTTCGTCCAAACGAGACCATGCGAAGCTCTTGGTTCAGTTATCATTTTCACAGCTGATGTTAAAATGCAGAATGAAGTTGGTGCGTTCTGAGGGTCTGGCACAGGAAGTGAGTACACTGCCGAGAGGGGGGCTGGGCACTGGGCTGGGGGTTGTGTGAGTGTTGTAAAGTATCTCTGCCCACTACTGGCCGGGCGCTAGAACTACATCGTTTTTCAACCTCATGTGAACGCTGAGAAATTTGCATTAGGAGCCAGGTCGTTTCTGTTAATAGTCTGGAAACATCGTCATTTGTTACAATTGTTATCGTGAGCTTTGTATCGCATCGTGAGGTACCCACCCCTAATTGATGCAGTAGTAGTAGTAAGTAGTAATCTTTATTTATATACCTATCTCACTCCACACAGAGATGGGAGCGGGGTCGCCAGTACAGGAGGCGCATGCCAGACCTATTGTACATATTTTTAGTGGTAGGGGAAACCAGAGTACCCGGAGGAAACCTACGCAGACCTACGGGGAGAACATGCAAACTCCACTCAGAAAGGCCCTGGTCCGACTGGGATTCGAACCCAGGACCTTCTTGCTGAGAGGCGAGAGTGCTATCCACTCAGCCACCGTGCTACAGTGCACAAAGTTTGTCCACAGACCTCTGAGCATCCAGCTCAAGTTCAGTGAATACAAGATTCAGTTCTTGTCTCATGTTGGAAGAAAGTAAAACTCTAGTGGAACATGTGTGGCTACACTAAGGAAAAAGGCCTGTTATACCAGCAAGAGATTGCATTAATGAAGTTGTTTGAAACTATAGCAAAGTTGTTGTTGCTGTTAAATGTTATAATGGATTCACTAGTATTTGTTATGTCAGTAACATAACTCAAATAGTTATGGACAGATATTCTTAGCACGGAAAACGTGCTCAGAAGTACAGATGATGGGTGAGAAACCTTCCTTTGCATGGACAGATATTGTAACTCAGGATAAACAAAATGACACATGGATACTGAGTGCTTTTCTTGTTGCATTTTTCATTAAATAGGCTTTTTATTACTAATGGAAACTATAGGTCTTCATGGAATAAACTGTCATAAGCAAGCTTGCACTTTACCTGCAGAGGTTGTGGACAACTTTTGCGTTCTTAGATTTACACATTATTAGGGAAGAAAGTCTGAGCCTTTTGTTGTGTAAATGCAAGGCTACAGCTCCTTAGCTAACCTAGTCTGATATTTTGTGTTGAATTCCAGAGTTTTACTTAAAATGATTATTGGGCAAGGCAGATACATTTACAAAGCACAATTCTTACAAAAAAACAAAAGAGCCATACAAAAGGAAAGAAAGAAAGGAAACATTAACGTCATTAAAGTGGCATAGAAACATAAATAATGTTAGTACATTTATTTTATGAAAGGAGTTCAGTTGAATGTTTTTTTTTTCCTGGATATGGACATTGTCAGCATAGAAGCTTGTCTCACATTTTCAGGAAGACTAGCCAGAGATGAATATGGCTCTAACGTCACAGATGTACTGCGTGTCCTCGGTGAGACCACAAGCAGAGCTTCTTGCAGGATTATCTATTTGTAATTCTTTTTTATTCCTTTTTTATTTTTGAATTGTGGCACTCTTCTATGAGCCACAAGATGCCAGTGCAGAGACCTAAACACAGAAATACTTTGATCTTAATTCCTGGTTCTAGTCAGGACTCGAGCTGCAGCAACAAACCGTTTGAGCAGAGCAGGGCTGTTTCAGCAGTCTTACAGATACGGCTGTACGACTTAAGTCTTTCTAAGTCATAACAATTTAACTATGTATTAGGGTTGTGTGTGGCTGATTTGTCTTTTGATTATGCCAGAGAGAACGGTGAGTAAAAAAAGATCACAAATGCTTTGACAAAACAGTTATATTTTACAGCTTCGAAATACCTGTAAAATAACTATTATGGAATAAATTATTTTTGGAGTTTCCATTGCGCTGGCATATAGGAGTTACTTTACCCTCAACATTACAGGGATAAGGTTATGGACATCACCAAGAACTCCTAGGATCAAGTAAGGGTTGATGAGGTTTAATAGCATAACGTAGATCATAAACAACACAGCATAATATAATCAAAACTAGCATCAAGACGATTGGCATTCTGTTAGTCACAATCCAGGCATTATCCAAGCAAAACAATGCTGCATATCAAACAGCCGCCAAAGAAAAGACAGCCCTCATGACCCCCCTGCATCACCGCTGGAGTGGATCACCCAGAGGCCAAGCGCAGTGAAACAAAGCCGGCTCAGTGCAGCGTCAGAGGACTGATCAAGGTTACACACATTTGTGCAGTGAAATAGGTAAAATGAGAATTTGTCAGATAGTAGCTGACAATGCCATTCTTTCTCTTTTAAGATTCAAGTGCTTTCATGGGTGCCATGGTAACTTGGTCTGAAATCAGGCATGCAGATGGTATTTGGTACCAGTTTCTGCCAAGCATTAGACTCACTGGTTAGTCTGGTTAAAGAGAGAGTTAGGTCATGTGCATCTGTTATTAATGTTATTAATGTTATTCATTTAATAAAAATATTATAAAAATTATGCTGATTGTTCTTGCAGAATTAACACCACTCCTACTGTAAATACCTCAAAAGTGCATCTGTGGCTATGATGAAGCGGCTCACTGTTTAGTGAATGAAGCAGGGAGGCACACGATTGAGACAGCAGGCCTGCTCCTCCAAACGTCATGGTAATAATAACCATGACTACACACACCAGGGTATTTTCTTCCTCCATCTTTACCCATAACCTGACAGAATTACTACAGCCTAATGCTACCTAATACTAAGTACAACTGCTATATGGTCTACTTTAATTGTAGGGCATAATTAGACAGTGCTACTGTGAAAAGAGGGCAGAAGCTCTATCTGGGTCTCTAATGTAGTCCAAGTGTGGAATTAATCTCTAGTTTTTTTGTGATAGTTTAGTTAGAACAAAATGTGATTTTTTTCCCCCAACCATTACATACCAATTTACATCTAAGAGCCCATACATCTTTAAACCTTTTGGTAAAACAGCCTGAAGAGGACCGGTGTAAAAAGAGACAAAAAGCACCTGACAAGAATTTTTTTAAGGACGCAATCTAAAAGCAAATGCCCAGAGAAAACAAAAGTTAGCTCAACTTTTCAACTTCACTCTTAGTGAAGTAGCCTACACTCTTGGTCTCTTTACTCAGCCCATTCGGATAAACCATTTTCCTTGGCTTCCTCATTTAAGTAGGCATAGAGCTCTGCTATGTTAGCCTTCACTAATATTCTTGGCTCTTCTAACTAAGGTTCTGGGAATTTTTATTAGTATTGTCTAGACCAGCTTAGCGGTCAAAACAAAAATGACTGCATACAATTTTAAAAATGTATTTTACTTTTTCATTATACTACCCAATGCACTGCAGCATTTACGGACTGCCAACCATAGCAATTAAATGGCTAGGGATTCTTGAAATTCCTGCTTTAGTAATTAAGGAATTACTACCATTCAAAGATATGTGAAACAAAGATAAAACAAAGTTTCACGACGGTACGGTAGGAGTTTATCACCACTGTGAATGGAGTGAAAGAATAGTGCCATGTGAGGAGTTTTTGAGTGTCCAAAAAGCACTATATAAAGTAAGTAAGTACCAGAGTCACAAAGCAGTTTACAATTGTGGGCATTTGTCTCTCACTCCACACAGAGATGGGAGCGGGATAAAAACGCATTATTACATTATTATTATGTTGTGAGGGCACAACCATACTGCTACAGAGGGCGTTGCACCAGCAGTAGAGCCACTTGCAAGCCACAGTAGTTTCTGTGCACATGAACGTTAAGTTTGACAGCCCTTGTTTGTGATTTGGAAAAACAGTTTGATATTGGGCTATATTGTAGGTCTCCATGCCTGGTGTATGTATTTAAGTGAAATGTTGTCTGGCTGGAGGAGTGACAAGCAGAACTCCACTCTGAGAGGCAACATTAATAATAATACTTGAATTGTCAGACTTAAGTAATGAAATTGACCTTATTGTCATCAATATAGAACTTAGAAACATTTAATTCTTGGGTTTCATTAAACTGGCCTGTAGGGGGCGAATGAGCAGAGGTGGGACAACTCAGTTTTGCTCCCATTGAAAACCATGTAAATCTTGTTAAAAGGCTCTCATCCTGTGCGGTGTATGGTTGTTGTAACAGTTCTAATCGGGTGGGGGACACAATTCTAAGGGATTACTAAAAAATATTTCTCAAAAGAGTCTTGATTTTCGGGCATTTAAAAAATAAAAAAAATAAAACAAGAAATGGCTGCGTTTCATTCGGGTGGCCTGCAGGAGGCGCTTATCTGGGAAAGCCTTGATCCACCTCGCCCGCCTCATTTGAGTGATTTTTTTCAAAGTGTACTCCTTTATATGAGACCACAGTTGGAACACGGAAGAAAGTCTGTGCATATGAGGAAAGTGTTACAAACGTTGAAATTAAGCCATAGAGGAACTTTTGGCCACACGTCAAATCAAGGTAACCTAGACAGCTTTTCAACGCATCACACATCTACACTTCCCACCAGGCACTAGATATATATTATACTGCTACATTAGATGGCCTTAGTGATTTAGTTGAAAATTAAAGTTGGACTGACGTCATAGCCATAGACCGTATAATTGGAGTGGACTAAATTATGCTGACGTCACCCATAGCTTTTTAGGTTCTTTTAAAAAGACAAGAGCGTAAAAAAGCTAGTACTGATTCGTTACCTAATATTTTTGGTGGCATACTTCCGCCTTCGTCAGAGGCAAGCTGAAGCCAATTTCCTTAAATGGGAATGTGTTCCAGCAGCATTAGCTTTGCGTCGTAACAGGAGCAGATGTGTTTCTGAATCAAGTTTAGGTTTACCTCGTGAATGAAGCAGTTGCTGTATATCTGCCTGCTGTGTTAGCAGAGTAAGTTTGACTAGTGTTGAGAGTGGAAAATGCTGGCAAGCTAGGTGGAAAAAGGAACAGCGTATGAGTGAATATTGATTGCTGGTTTGAATGGGTTCAAATGGATTCAAGTGAAACCGCTTATTCTCAGTCAGAAATTGTAAATCCCAATATAACGACTGTTAGAAAAATTAACCCAATCATGAATTAATTGGAGACTTCAGCACTTACTCTGTCTACGGCGTCCTGCTCGGCTGGTATGAAAACCTGCAGCCCTTTTGAGTACTATTATGACTGGCCCACCTATGTTCAGGGTGTTGTCTAGCTACTACATCAGCACTGAAGTTACTGTAACTCCTAAAGTTTAAAGGTTAGGGTTACTGGGTTGAGACTCCAGAGTGGTTAACGCTGGGGGTGTTTTGGGGCCAAAAGGAAGCAGGGGCCACTTTAATACTAAGCCTTCAAATCTGCTCCAACATTGAGCGTTTTAACAGTTAACTCCTTGGATTTGGGTGAAATGGGCCGAATACCTCAGAATGTGTGAAAGTTTCTCATTCAGCATACCTCTATAACAATAACAAATGGATCATAAAAAGATTAGGGTTTCTGAGGGAAAAGATGGGCTATATAAGTATGCAATAGAGATTTTTCCAGCAATAATGAATGAGCCCACTGTTCATGCTTTAATAAGGTGTGTAATAGGTTCAGAAAAGAAAATCAGGAATTGGAACTTGAGAAGTATGGTGTTTTGGAGATCCAAGGAAAACCATTCACCTGCTGTTGGGCTGTTTAACATTCTAATATGTTGAGTAATTGTTTAGTAACTCTTAGTAGTTATTGACCCACTAGTGACACCGCTATAAACGCTAAAGAGGACAGCAGCATTGCTTGCATAAGCGGCTTGAGAGCTGATGTCCTCGGTACACATCTTGGGTTTCTCACCTCACTAGTCAACTGGGAGACTTATCATAAGCTGCAGACTCATCCAAGCACCAGTAAACCCAACAAAGGTCATCTAGCGATTCTAAAAATGGTGCTAGTCTTTCTGACTCATGCAGGATCCATAGACCCATCTGAGTGAGGTCAAAAAACTGTTGGTTAGTAAGTACGCAGGTCTCATTTATACAGCTCAGTATGCACAAAATGGAGTCATAAAGTTCATACAAACCTTTATAAAATCAAGTACGTGAAAAGGAGGTCACGTGCCTGAGATACCTTTCCATAATCTCGGACCCCCTAATCAAAGATTTTTGGTTTCAATCAAATCTTTGTAAGAGGATGGTTAAATCAAAGATACACCCAGAAGCAATGAAACACTATTAAAAATACTGAAGGTGTGGGACTATGGCAGGAGATAATAATACAAAATATGGCACAATGTCAACTTATGGCAAACTGAGGTATTTCCGACTGTAAGAGGTAAAAAGGTTATAGAGACACCTGAGGTGGACCAAACCATTTGGAAAGAGGGGCTTAAGAGGATCAGGACACAGTTATTAAGAAATGACTGAGACCATCTGGGATCACTCACAACACACATGTGAACTGCAGGCCTGTGCCTCACTGCTGACTGCCTCTTCACAATCTCCTGTCTGTGTGAGGTTTGTAATCTCAAAGGGAGTGACAGAGACATGAGACACTAATGTTTAGGTGTTGTCCTCTGAGCGTTTGCTCATAAATGTTCACTTTTGAAGTGTTAAATTGATTAACTGTACCAATGGGTGGGCTAAAAAAAAAAAGGCCTGTATAAATTATAAAATGTACATCTTTTACTGCCATATCTTTTTTGAGCCTGTTGATCCTGTAAATATACTTTAGAAGATTTCAAAGTTAACACTTGTTTGTTTGTCCATCAGGTCCCATGGCCTCCACAGAGCATGGCAGAGAGTTGGAAGAGGCAGCCACAGTGAGAAAGCTGGTACCTCAAAACCCATTGCGGACCGGTCAAAGCCACAGACCAGCTGGCTGGAAACGGAGACGTGCACGACCTCGTCTGTCCCACAAGGGGCCCATGCCGTTCTAGAGCAAGGTGAGATCCTTGCAAGAGAGCATTTATAATACAAAACTTGGATAACTTGTAGCATTGTCAATGTACCATCCTATCAAAAAAGCAACTAACTAAATAATTTAATAATTTAAGCTAACATAGTGGTGTGACCAATTTGTTTCTTATCCAGAATGCTGATGGCTTGACACTGAGTTAGCATTCAATAATCATTTCCTCAGGACTTTCAGTCAGATTTGGGGATACCAGATACTTTCATTTCCAAGCTTGTTTACTTCTTGTTTTTTGAAAATTTAATTATTCCCAAGTCAAGCCTGGCAAGCGACATATCATGGGAAAGTAACATAAAGAAAACAAAAAGATAATCATAACACCTATGATTCCATAAATATAAACAAATATCTAACCATCAGAGTCATAGGATGCTGTGTTAGAAAGGAATATTTTGAAGCCACAGAGCCACTCCAAAGACACAATATCACTGCAGGAGGTGCAGACTCCACCACAGTGACCCACAATGGCGACCCATAAATTCAACAAAAGACCCCACTTGCGGTTAAAGCAGAACCAACAGATTTGCTAAGCTTCAGGAATATTTTTTCCCAGTTTTTATACATTTTGAATATAGCAAAATTGTATTATTGAAATTGTGATTATTTGCAAATTATGCACAGATAAAGACATAAATAAACAAATATTGCATGTGAAAACCTGAATTCGTTGGACCTTAGAAGCTAAACAGGGCAGGGCTCAGTTAGTACTGTGATGGTTGCCATGTTGTTTGGATCATTCTCAAAAATAAGTGCTCTACTTGTGTCTACCTACTACTACAACCTACTACTGTCTACTTGTGACAACCATATTTTGGCAACCATGAGCCCAGCCAAGAGAACCCTTAAAGCTGTTACGTCCGAACCAAGAAAAGTATATCCAAAGAATGAAAAGCAGAGAACAGGGACCCAGGGATGCTAGGTGGACTGACAGACTACAAGCCTCCATTTCCCAGACCATGGGGAAATGTGTTCCAATAGATCCATCATGGCACATCATTTTTGATGTTAGTAATTCCCAAACAGCGTGTCAAGTACCAAAGGTACATTGGATTGTCTGTCCTCCATCTCAGCAGGTATAAAGACTTTTAAAATGTCCTCATAAGATCGGTTGGTCTTCAACTCTGAACTCAAAATGTCCCAACAAACAAGCAGATAAGGCAGTGACGATACAATTTACATCACTTACCTGAGCATTACAGCAGCATGAAAGTATGCCATTTCTTTTATTGTGGAAATCACCCTGACGTTCAACAAAACGATACAACACAAATCTCAGGAAATTATCACAGACTAGCACAAAAGCCGATGAAGATAAAAGAGCTCCACACAAAAAAAGGAGATTCGCCTCAGGCGAGTGATAATGTAGGGCTTGTGCTACACTGTTTTTGTTACTCCCTAGCCTGCTTCTCTGTCACAAGACATGACATCTGAATGTTGGCTAGACGAGCCTTAATATTGAACAGACTTTCCAATCAGCCATTCCACTTGGAATCTAAGATGACTGACTTTTAGAATGACCTGCTTCTGCATGTGATTGTATACTCATAATAAATGTGTCGCTTTGTTTTTTGCAGACACTTCATTGAGCGCCCTCCCCAGGCTCTGATTTCTATGCTCTTCCTTTTCCTTGGGGAGGCCTTGCAACAAAGGGCCTTCAGTTGCCCAGCCTGAAGAGTGATGTCCATAGCACATGCTGGTTCTTCAAGCAACTGTCAACAAAATTATCAGGACAAGACACTCACCCCCAGCTCGACGAGGCATTGGAGGCAGGGGGAAGGGGGGTGGGGGATGTAGAGTCCGAGCTATCAGAAATTATTCCTCTGTCTCTCTTTTTCTCCTTCTCTCACTCCCTCACCAGTTATCTTGTCTTTTTCCTAGTGTTTATTTACTTGACTTCAATCTGTCTCAAACACTTTGCATGACATGTGGTGGAGAGGGAGCCCTGTCCAAACAACCAGAATCAGAAAGCTTCGGAGAGGCACAAATTCAGATTCAAGGTTACCTCAGCTGCTGACTCCATTGCTGTTTAGCTACAGCATTTTACGCAGGTGAAAGAGTGCTGATCATGCAACGGCAGTGTAATTTCTCTCAAAACACTGCTATGAAAGAAAGGTCTAACTTTTTCACATCCTTAAGACTTTGTGATCGTGGGTTTATCATCATTTGAAATGGTGCTTAGTACCTTCTAACTAATGTCAATAGCAGTGAGGTTGACCCTGCACATAATGTATTCTGAATATTAAGAGTAATGAAATCAATTGAGAAACTTTAATCCAAATCTATTTTGGTATGTGTTCTCATAATCATATAAGGGGTATACTGATGTGCTCAAGGTAACTCATCCCACCTTGGAAGAGTCCTTTGACCCTAAATCCCAATCCTGCCCCCAATCCCCAGCTTTCTCACAACACTGCTGCCCTTCGCAGCTGCTCTACACGACTGTTAACTGGCAGACGTCTGCTCCACTCAGACCAGCCTGCCTTTTAATAAAGTGCCAAATAAACCCTCTCCACAATGCTGCCAGGAACACAGGATGAATGGTTAGGGACAAACACATTACCTCTTGTTTGACGTCTTGATACACTGACATGATATGCATCTCTAATGTTGCAATGAATAACAAATATAACGCAAGCACGACTCCAAAATTAGACCAAAAACAATGTTTCAATGTGAGTGGAAAGCGTGGTTAATAAAACACAAATGCTCTGGCTGCTTCAGCATGAGGCTGGTGCCCCTATCACAGACTAATGCTATGCCTTTCCATCATGGAAAATTACTGTTTCTGTTTATATATGCGTTAATCTACTTTCGTTTTCTCAGGGTCTATGATTGAGGCATGTACTAGAGGGGTCTATTTTGTGCATTTATTTAATAAACCTATTTTCATATACTGTTTTCCTCTCCCTCTGTGCATAGGCCAGTAAAGTGGCATATCTCGTCCGATTTTGTAGTCTCAGTCCTATCCCTGCATTGCTTTGGGTACAGTTGCCTTTTTTGTGCACAGCACAGGTGGTCGTGGCTTTGATCATTACGCTCATTAAATCCTCCAGTTAATCTTTCTCAGATGGATCTCTCCAAAGCTGGCCCTGGACACTTAGTCTGAGCTTATTGTTAAATTGGCTTAGACTAAAACCACACCCATTCCCCGGGTTAAATGGTAAACCTTTTCTTATCAGTGACATGCTTAAACGAGTGGGGAAATCAAATGAAAGGTGAGCTCTTGAAGGATATTTTAGCCCTAAAATAAACAGTCTGAATAAGATTGACAACAACCTTTCCCTCCCGCCATATCTCATGCAAATATTATTATAGGCAGTCTTCTCTGTCACTGCATGAGAAGCTATTATTAAGAGGGCATCAGTGCTCACAGTGGTAATCTACACCGCCAAGCCCACTTCGATTAAAAATGTATTAAATCCTAAGGCACTGTGAAGAGAATAATTTCAGTTCCACGATTACTTTTTCATTCGCTCATAGACAGAGATGTAGATTTCTTTAATGAGACTGCTAGGCCCAGGTCGACTTATATATTATTGGAGATGCTTGGAGAAGGTTGAGCATGGAAGCTCTGAGCAGGAGCTGGGATGCTGGAGGAGACTGGGGCGCACAGGGGTTCAAATCAAAGTCCCATCTCAGAGGTCAACAGTTAAGGAAACGTCTGTATCAGAACTGTTTTTCATGAATGTATGCTCGCTATCTTTACCAGCCATGCTGCCCTTTCAGAGATCAGAGCAAACCCAAAATTGTTTATACAACACCAAGTTAAAAATCCAATCTAAAATCTAAAGCCAAAAATCCCATGTTTCCAAGTTTGTGTTTTTTGATGTGGTTTGGCGAGAAGACCTCTCTGTTTGGGTGTGCAGGGTTGCACTTTTTAAATTCCATACTGCTGCTGGAAAAATATACCTTGAAAACACAGTTTCCAGTGTTTGTGACAGTTATTGTTTGATCCTTGTCTGGTTGTCCAAAGCTTACTTTAAAAACAGTGGAAACGCTGTATTCTTACATGGATGTAACAAAATAGAAAATTAGTCTACAGGGCAATATGTCATGGACACGTGGCATTCTTCCTCATTGATTATTGCCCCCAACCCTTTCCAATGCATCAGGTTAATGGGCCTTGTGGTGTGGGAGGACATGCACATCCAAGCTCAAACTCAAATTATAAACCAATACATTATGACTGTAGAGCAAAACCATTTTGCTTAATGGTCTTTTCCAGCAAGGGTTACGCACATGCTGGAAAAAATATCCATTATTAATATTTTCTGTTCTCCTCTCTGTGACCATCACAGAGCTTGAATAATGCTCCTATGCACTTGTTTCCTGGTAAATTATGTTTGTGAAGAAACTGAAGAACCCGATAGTAGTTAACTATAACTACTATTGGCCAGTTGTGTTGAGTTTTTTGAGTCTGAAAGCATTTGGCTAGGAGCGTGTTGATGATGAGCAGAGACATAGTGTTACAGGTGAAGACAAGAATAAGCTAGTAGCATTCATAAATTACTATTCAGTAAATAGATCTTTTCTTTACATATATAAAGAATATAGAAACTTATTTTTATGCTTTTCACATTCTGTTACATCATCTAGTGAAAATTCTTTTTGATGGAAATAATATCGTAATATTTCACAATTTGTGAAAATTACTTCCTGTTTCAATACATTCCATGATTGTAATTTCAAATCTCTGAGCAAACCAAACTGCATCTGAATGGAGAGACACGGTGGTCAGGACAGAAGCGAGCTATTACCAAACACAATGACACAACAAAACAGAAGATTCAATTTGATCTCAATTGAGAAAAGACTGATCTGATTCTCATTGGATCCTTAAAACGACACTTCCTTCACCCCACAGCCGCATCAGGCCCTGTCTGAGACATTCTCAGACAGGGCCTGGCTGAGAGCCACTCTGTACGGATGCAGTCTGCATTGCAACAGTGTTATAAGTCTCCAGCAGAAAGACAATGTATTAATCCTGAATCTTCTTTTCTGTTCATGGTGTGCGCTCATAATACTCACCAGGCCAAATGTACAGTCCCTGTCTCTGTTTTTGGTGTTGAACTGGGCAAAATAAATGACATGAATAAATAAATAAGTAAAACAAGTGTATCAGAAATGGTTGAAATACTGTGTACATATTGAACTTTTGGTTTCTAATTTATAAAAGATAAGCTTTAGCTCTTGGAGTACTTATTTTATTTTTCCTTTCATGCGTAGCTTTGTGTTTTTTTATTTTCTATTTCTGTAAAGTGTGTAAATATATCTTTATGATAATAAGTAATATTAAAATCTTATTTTAAGAAGTCATGGAGTCGGAAGTCTTTTCTCACTTTGAGTACACAGTGCAATCATGCTGGAGATGATCTCCTCAACTATGTGAAAACACTAGTGACAGCTCAGCTTTCAGAGGGTATAGTGCACACGAAGCATGAAGCCTCTAATGTATCTGAGCTGCTGAGCACGTAAACACCTTCACGCAGCTACTCAGCCAGCATCACTGTCAGCCTCACAATAGCACATTCCGATGTGAAATTATGCAACATTAACTTGAAAGCATGAATTTTCCAAAAACATCCAACATCAGTAGTTGTTGGGTTGTATGTTTGTGATGACATATTCTATCAAAACATATCATCATATTCTATCATCTATCATCTTAATGAGCCCTAACTGACCCTTCAAATGCATTTCTCCAATATCTGAGTATATAGATTATGATCAAATCCCACTGATTAAAACACATGCTCTGCTGTTGTTGTGGCATAAGTGCATACTTTCAAATATAACTAGAAAGTGCTAACAGACATTTGGCACAAGTTACGATCCTTTAAAAATGATTGTGGTCTATATCACCTCCAAAATGTTACTTAGCCATTTCCGAGGTTTACAAAAGAAATAACAGATTTCTGATCACTTTTTCAAAAAGCAATCCAGTTTCTGCTGTAGTTACTCTATTTCAAAAGTAATGTAATGGTTACAAACAACTTTTTAGTCAGGACTCTAGAATAACCGTCCAGAAAAAATATTATATTGTTATATAAAATATTCTAGTATTATAATATACAATATATATTACATTCTTGCCCTCTACCTGTGTGTTTTATGCTGTAGGAAAAAAATATATAAATCTGCTAATCTATTATAAAACTGTTTTAAGTGATTATTATTTTCAAATGCTTTAAGTCAGATGTAGTGAATAACTTGTGAGCTCTTGGTCGAATGCATTTCATTTCAACAGTGACATGGTGGGTGTTTATTAGTGCAATGTTTTTTTCTGAGACAAAAATGGATAGCAGCAGCAGACAAGCGGCCTTGCATTAGTGTCATTAGCGCCATTAGCTTCATTAGTGCCATTACAAAGTGAGATGCTTCTGCCCTCTGCCTGGAGAGCCGTGTTAGGCATGTTACTTCAAAAAAGTTGTTTGTTAATAGTTACTCCTTACTTCTAAATGTATTTTGTGTTAGTAACTGTGTATCTGAAGGGCAAAAGTAACTATCACTTTCATTTGCAAGTCACAGTACAAGATAACAGTACAGCTATAACATTCATTTTAACCCAGGGCACATCTGCGTATGATCCATTAATTCCAAAGGCAC